GAAAGCCTACATTCCTTCCATGATGCCCCTTATAGCAGATTACAGTGGAATCTAATTTATTATAAAAAAAGATCAGTTTTTTAAAAGAATGGAAAAGTGTTCTCTGGATTTTAGTATAATTATGAATTTAGAAAAAATGTGAAGATTAAATATATAAAACTTAGGTTCAGCTATGCTTCACTTTAAGTAATCAAGAATTCAGTTATCAACTTTGTAAACTGCTACTTTGTTGCTCAATAAAGAGAGAACTAAAGGTGTATTGGGAAAAGCAGAAAATCCCTCTTACATCTCTATTTTGACTATAGTTATAGGAATATGAAAGCACAGTCAACTAGTCTCTACATTTTACAAATGGGAGTCCAAGTTCCCGATAAAGTGACTTTTATATTCTAGGATATATAATGAGGAAATGTCTTAGGCCATTTGGGCTGCTATAACTGGATACCATAGACTGGGTATTACAGTTAATAAACAACAGAAATTTATTTTTCACAGTTCTGAAGGCTGGAAGTCCAAGATTAGTGTGCCAGCATGGTCAAATTCTAGTGAGGACTGCTTCTGAGTTACAGATGGCCGCCTTCTTATACACTGTTGGACTGCAAATTAGTACAACTTCTATGGAAAACAGTATGGAGATGCCTCAAGGAAATAAACATAGACTTACCATTCGACTCAGTAATCCTACTACTGGGTATCTACCCGAAGGAAAAGAAGTCATTTTATTAAAAAGACACCTGCATCCAAATGTTTATTGCAGCACAATTCACAATCACAAAGATGTGGAATCAACCTGAGTGCCCATCATCTCATTAGTGGATTAAGAAAATATGTGTGTGTGTGTGTGTGTGTGTGTGTGTGTGTGTGTGTGTGTGTGTGTGTGTATTATTACTCAGCCATAAAAAGGAATGAAATAATGTCTTTTACAGCAACTTGGATGAAACTGGAGACCATTATCCTAAGTGAAGTATCTCAGGAATGGAAAAACAAACACTACATTTACTCTCTAATAATTAGGAGCTAATCAATGGGCACAAAGAGAAGTAAGGGTCATTGGAAATCAAGAAGAGGGGGAGAGGTAAACACCTTCCTATCAGGTATAGTGAACACTATCCGGGTGATGGGCACACTAAAAGCCCCGACTTAAGCATTATAAAAGATATCCATGTAACGAAAACATCTGTGCCCCGTTAATATTTTGAAATTTAAAAAAAAAAAAAGTTTTAGAAGAAATAAAGCAATAGGATCTAGGCTATGCCTCAAGGAATGACTGCCAGGAATAATGCCAAACTGGCCCGCTAGACTGAAGGACTAAGGAAAAATAACAACTAAATGCAGTGTGGGATCCTGAATAGGATCCTCGCATAGAAAAAGGACACTAGGGGAAGAATTGGTGACATTCAAGTAAAGTCTATATTTCAGTTAATTATAATGTACCAATGTTAATTTCCCTTTTTTGATCATTGTAGAATGGTTGTATGTGATGTTAACATTATGGAAAACATGTTGAGGGATATAAAGGTACTATTTTTGCAACTCTTTTGTAAGCCCAAAATTAGTTCAAATTAAAAATGAGTTCAAGTTAAAAAAAAAAAAACCAAACCAATAACCTGCCTGGGGAGCCACTGTTGTTGCCGCAGTTCAAACTACTGACTAGCACTGGAACTGATTTTGAGAACATATTGTCAAAACTATGAGTCAGGGATCAGGCTGTCAACAGCTACTACCCAAGATCCTTGAAGCTAGTGACTGAACATTGTTAGAATGCTAAGTCTGAGTTCAGCACCATTTGTTGAAAAACTCTTCTTTTCCTATGGGTCTGCCATACTATCATTGTTATATATGATATAACATGGGGTTTGTTTCTGGATTCTTTGTTCTTCTTGACTGGCCTATTTGTCTAACCCTGTGCCAATTACATACTGCCCAAATTATTATTGCTTCATGATAAGACTTTATCTTATCAGCAAAAAAAAAAAAAAGGCAAGAAGTTGTCATTGCATCCTATTAGATGGTGCATGATTTCAGTTTGTCCCTTTACTGGTAATGTGGTAATGTTAACTTTGATCACTTGGTTAAGATAGTGTCTGTCCAACTTCACTGTAAAGTTACTCTTTGTCCATAATTGGTAAGAATTTTGTAGAACAGTAGTACTTTGAGACTTATGAAAATACTCTGAATTTTTCAAACTTTCAATTTATTTTAACTGTATGGACTCATGTATTCCTGTTTTATCCAATGGGTTATGTTATTATTTACTTTGGTGTACAAATTGTCTCAGATTTGGCCAGTGGAGCCCTTTGAAGCTGGTGTTTGTGTCCTTTTGACATGTCCCCACCATACTTTGAGAATTCCTTACTTTTTGGCATAAGATCTACTAGGCTTATCTTGTTCTTCCCCTGCCAGAGGCCTGGAATCAGCCATTTCTCCATAGAACCCTGGTTTCTTTCAATGGAGAATAGATTTTAGAAACCAAATCCAGGTGTTAAGTATCTGATAATGTATGTCTCTCCTCTATTAGACTGAGCTTATTGAGATCAGGAATAGTGCGTCTTTTCATCTTTGGCAAATATCCAGTCTAATGGCTGTCTCTCAGTCAATGTTCAGTAAATATATATGCGGTTTTCAAGGTCCCACGCTACAGCACCATCCCACTTATTCTCCCTCTTTTATTTCCTGATTTCATCCACACAGGCGTCTTAATGCCAGCTCACAGAACAACATTGAGCAATAAAAACACAGCCTACTTTTTTCTTAGCTTCCTTGAGGATGAACACGAGGTCTCAGTTTACATACAACATATTCCTAGGATACTTTAGCAGAAAGAAAACACTAATAATATTTTCATAGTCTTTGGAGTTTGGGGACAAAATAGTTATTAAATATTGAAAGGTAAAAATTCACTATAAAATACATGTATTATTAGATGAAAACTGTAAGAAGCAGAAAGTATATATTCTATTTTTTTAAAAATTTTTTTTAAAAAAGTAATATTAGAATATACATAGAAAAAATGGCAAAGGTCAAGTGGACATCTCTAGCCACAGGAGAGCCTGGGAAGTCAAGCTTATATAGCTGAACATATGCCAGCCAAATAAAATCAGTGTTCTATAAAGTAAAATGGAACGAAGAAATACTGGGCAAGCCATTAGTGGGGTGGAGCATCAGAAGTATGGGGCAGGGTTGGGAGTGCTCTGGAGAGAAGAAAGTTAATTTTTTTTTTTCTTCATGGGAAGATCTCTTACACAAGAAGAAAGTTAATTTGTAAAAGCCCCATTGTACTGCCAGGGTATAGATTGTTTCCTAATCCATCATTTCATATGTTCTGCATACTCCCTGAGAAATCCATTCCCATTGACTTTTATATGCTGATAATTCTAAATCTCTTTCTTCAATTCTGGTTTTTCTTTTAAACTTTAGTTCTAGATATCCAACTCCTGCCTAGAGGTCTTTTCTTAGCTATCTCACTGGCACCTAAGACTCTGAACATTAACAGAAATGAACTCACCATTTTTCTCCCCGGTCTTTCTTTTCTTCATATATTCTCCAAACCTATAAAAAAATTTTGCCGTACACCTAATTGCCCAAGCCATAAACCAGGCCATCATCCTTGACTTTCCCTTCGCCCTAACTCCTATTCAAATTATTAGTCCTCTTTAATCTGGCCACTTCTCTCCATCTCCACTGATATTACCCTAGTTCAAGTCCCCATTTCTCATATTACTGTAATACATTGTCATTGGTCTGTTTCCCATCAGTCTCACTTTCTTCTCATTCTCCGCTCAGCACAACAGGGACATCTTCCTAATACATGAGTCTGATCATGTTGAGCTACTGCTGAGACCTTCATTGACTTGGCATTACTCTTAGATACAGTCCACCTCCTTAACATGATTTGAAGGGCCAGACTTGACCTCTGCTCTCTAACTCCATTTTTCCTATCCTATACTCCAACAGTATACTTCAAGCATCCTTATTTTCTTCTAGTCTCTAGAATATAAGCTAGGCCAATAACTCTCTTCCACTTTCTCTCAATGTAACTGACTTCTACTTGAGCTTTAGATATAAAATGAAATGTCATTATCCTCCATGAAAGAGTTTCTAAACTGCATAAGTCTGGATTAGGTGGCCTTCCTATGTTGTTTACAAAGTACTGAGCAAGAGTGAGAGTCCATCTCTACAAAAAAATAGAAAAATTAGCTGGACATGGTGGCACGTGCCTGTAGTCCCAGCTACTTGTGAGGCCGAGGTGGGAGGATAGCTCGAGCCCAGAGTTCAAGGTTGCAGTGAGCTGTGATGAGGCCACTGCACTCTAGCCTGGGCCGCAGAGCAAGATCCTGTCTCAATAAAAAAAAAAAGTTCATCAGAGAGAGGTTAGTAGGGATTTGTGGACAAAGCCCCAGTTAGTGGGAACTGTGCCTGTGGTAGTGACAAGAAGTGGGATTTACTCATTTGGAATTTGTAAGGGCTTCACTCATTTCATTAATGACAGTAAACTGACCAAGTATATTAAAGAACCTCTAACAAAAAAGCCACAGACTGCAGTTGGCGAATCTAGATTTTTCTACCATCTGATTACTATCTATTATGGACTAAATGTTTATATGTTCAAACCCTCCTCTCCCATGTAATGATATTAGGAGATAGGGGGTTTGGGAGGTAACTGGGTTTAGGTTGTGAAAGTGGAACCCTTATTAGTGGGATTACTGCCCTTACAAGAATCACAAAAAATAGAAAAATTAGATGGATGTGGTGGCATGCGCCTGTAGTCCCAGCTACTTGGGAAACTGAGGTAGGAGGATCACTTGAGCCCAGGAGTTCAGGCTGCAGTGAGCTATGATCGCACCTTTGTGCTCTATCTAGCCCAACAGATTGAGACCCTGTCTCAAAAAAATAATAATAAATGTTTAAATTTAATTTGGAGAGGTATTTTGGTAGGCAAAATGCACTTCCTTTGCCAAAGAATAATGATTGTACTAACTTCATTTTCCTTTCCTATTCAGGTCATGTATGGAATGTTGGTCTTCACATTAGTACTTCGATCTATTTATATTGTTACATGGTAAGTAGTTTGGATCACCTACAGTATGATGGAAGTATATTCAGGCTCATAACAGTAAATTTATAGCTTAAATTGAAATAATGCATAAAACCTCACTTCAGCAGAAATGCTGATAGAAAAACTATAACCCAATATTTATTATGTTTTATTATAAGAAATACTAGTTATTCAGGCAAGTTGTTAATAGGCATTACATGAAAACAACAGTTCCAAAATTAAAGAAATTTGAGGAAAGCTGTGTATGATGGTCTCCTTTTGAATATTTATAATGTTCATTCATATATTAAAGACCTTGAAAAATCCTACAGTAAAAAAAAAAAATTATTTTTATCTTTCTGAAACCAACTTGACTAGGGCACAACTTTTACATGACACCTTTCAAGGAAGGCTATTAATGCCACAAAGAATTAGTGTTCCATGAAAGATCATTTGGGAAATGGGCATAATCTTTAAGAGTTCATGAAAATTAAGTAAGAAATAACATTCATGGCTGGGCGTGGTGGCTCACACCTGTAATCCTAGCACTCTGGGAGGCCGAGGAGAGAGGATCCCTTGAGGTCAGGAGTTCGAGACCAGCCTGAGCACGAGTGAGACCCTGTCTCTACTAAAAATAGAAAAAAATCAGCCGGGCATAGTGATGGATGCCTGTAGTCCCAGCTACTTGGGAGGCTGAGGCAGGAGGATCCCTTGAGCCCAGGAGTTTGAGGTTGCTGTGAGCTAGGCTGAGCCATGGCACTCTACTCAGGGCAAGAGTGAGACTCTGTCTCCAAAAAAAAATAAAAATAAAAATAACATTCATAAGAGTACCTTAAATAGGGCCTGGTCATACAACAGGCGCTCAATAAATAAGTAGTATGATTTGTGGGTTTGTTCTATTTTTTCTTTTTTAATTAAACTTTTAATTTTGATATAACAATAGAAATACATATATTTATAAGAAATAAGGGATCCTTGTAAGAGATCCCATGTACCCCTTACCAATTTCTTCAAATGGTGATGTCTTACAAAACTATAGTACAATATCACAACCAGGATTTGACATTGATACAGTCAAGGTACAAAACATTTCCATCAACACAAAGATCCCTGTGTTGCCCTTTTATAACCACACCTATTTCCCCTCCTATCTCACTCCCCGTCACTTAACACCTGGCAATCATTTATCTGTCCTCCATTTCTAAAATTTTGTCATTTCAAGACCATTATAGAAATAGAATCATATGTTAATAGTATAATATTTGGGATTGGCTTTTTGAACTCAGCATAACTCTCTGAAGATTAATCCAAGTTGTCAAGTATATCAATAATTCATTCCTTTCAATGTATATATAGATATACCACAGTTTAACCATTCACCTGTTGAGTAACATCTGAATTGTTTCCAGTTTTTAGCAATCATGAATAAAGCTGCTATGAACATTTGCATATAGGTGTTTGTATGAACATAAGTTTTCACATCTCTGGAATAAATGCCCACAGCAGAATTGCTAGGTTGTATGGTAATTGTATATTTAGTTTTTCTCAAAACTGCTGAACTGTTTTCTCGAGTGGCTCTACCATGTTTACATTCCCACCAGCAATGTATGAGTGATTCAGTTTCTCTGCATCTTCACTAGCCTTTGGTGTTATTACTATTTTTTATTTTAGCCATTCTGATAGATGTGTACTAATATCTCATTCTTTTAATTTGCATTTCCCCAATGGCTAATGATGTTGAACATATCTTCATGTGTTTATTTGCCATATGTATATCCTTTTTGGTGAAATTTCTTTTTATGTCTTTGTCCATTTTCTCTTTTTTTACAACAAAAGATAATATTTGTCAAATACGTGGTTTGTAAATATTTTTCTCCCAATCTATACCTTATCTTTTCATCCTCTCTTTCAATGAGCATTTTTAATTTCAATGAGATCAGATTTACAGTTTTCTCTTCATAGATCATGATTTTGGTGTCAAGTCTAAGAACTCTATACCTTGCTGTAGATGCCAAAGATTTTTTTTTAAAGATTGTATTGTTTTACATTTAAGTCCATGATTTATTTTGAGTTAATTTTATATAGGGTATAAGGCTTAGGGTGAGGTTTCAGTTCCATTTTTTACCTATGGATGTCCATCTGTTCCAGGACCACTAGTTAAAAAGACTATCCTTTCTCCAACTGCTTTTGCACCTTTGTCAAAAATTATTTGGGTATATTTGTGTGGGTCTATTTCTGGGATCTCTATTCTGTTCTACTGATTGATATGTCTGTCCACCAATACCACACGGTCTTGATTACTGTAGCTACATTATAAGTCTTCAAATCATGGAGACTGAATCCTCCCACTTCATTCTTCTTTTTCAAAATTGCTTTAGGTATTCAGGTTCCTTTGCCTTTCCTTATAAATTTTAGAATAATATCATCTAAATTTAAAATCTTGTTGGGACTTTGATAAGAATTGTGTTAAACATGTGTATCAGTTTGCCAGAGAGTTGACATCTTTACTATGTTGAGACTTCTAATCCATGGACACATTCTGTCTCAATTTATGTAGGTCTTCTTTGATTTCCTTCATCAGCATTTTGTTGTCTCTTTTTTTAAGCAATTGTAAATGGCATTGTACTTTTAAATTTTGGTCTCCGCATGTTCATTGTCATTATAGAGAAATACAATTGATTTTCTTTATATTTATCTTTTATTCTTCCACCTTGCTGAAATCAGTTCTAGGAAGGGTTTTTTTTTTTTTTTGTATGTTTTTATTTCCTTTTTGCCTTATTTCCGTGAATTGAACTTATTTCATCAATTTTCTCTGTTTTTCATTTTTCAGTTTCATTGATTTCTCTTTATTATTTTCTTCTTTTTGTTTGCTGTGGGTTTATTTTGCATTTCTTTTTCAAGGTTTTTGAGGTGGAAGCTTACTGATTTCAGACTTTCCTCTTTCCTAATGAAGATTTAGTGCTGTAAATTTCCCTCTCAGCACCACTTTAGCTATGTCCCACAACTGTCCATATGTTATATTTTCATCTGCATTCACCTCAATTTTTTTTCAATTTCCCTTGAGACCTCCTCTTTGACCCATGGATTATTTAGAAGTATATTGTTTAGCATTCAAGTATTTGGAGATTTTTATGTTATCATTCTTCTTGATTCCTAGTTTGATTCCATTGTGGTCAGAGAACACACTCTATGATTTCATTTCTTTTAAATTTGTTGAGGTTTGTATTATGGATCAGGCTAATATACCGAAGATACTTATGTGAAACAGATATTAGCATATGTTCCATGTTTGCTTGAAAAGCATATGTATTCTGCTGTTGTTGAGTGAAATCTTGTGTAAATGTCAATTAGATCCTCTTGGTTGATGGGTATGTCGGTGTTCCCCAAGATCACTCTCAGGTTCAATGATTTGGTAAAAGAAATCACAAAACTCAGCAAAGATGTTATAATAACATCCTTTATTAAAAGGATTTGTTCTGTAAAATTTGGATTCAGTCAGAAGGCTGCACTCAAGGATCTAGAAGGCCACATGTGGCACCAAGGCCGCAGGTTCCTTACCCGTTTATTACCTAGAGATCAAACTGATATAGTACGGTCCAGGAATCCAGGCAAATAAAACCAGGTATTCACTATAAATCATATTATTAGCATAAACTGTCTGGCATGGCCCAAAGTGTCAGGTATACAAGGACACTCTTATTGTGCAGGACTTTCCAAGGACTCAGAAGTTATCTCCCTGGAATTAGTGAAGCACTAGTCCTTTATTTGGAATATGCAGTTTGTGCCCGCTGAGTTAGCTATTTAATGCACAATGGTGTTTTTGAGTTCTTCTGTACACTTGTTGATTTTCTGTCTAGTTGTTCTGCCAATTGTTGAGAAAGGATTGCCGAAGTCTCCAAACATGATTTTAATTTAATTTAATTTAAAAATTAACTAGGCAAGGTGACATGTGCCTGTAGTCCCAGTTACTCAGGAGGCTGGGGCAGGATGATCACTTGAGCCCAGAGTTTGAGGTTACATTGAGCTGTGATCCTGCCACTGCACCCCAGCCTGAGCAACAGAGCGTGACTCTGTCTCAATCAATCAATCAATAAATAAAATAAAAGATACAGTTAAAGAAGCCACTCTGAGTATATGACAAAAAAAGAGGAAGAAATGGAAAACAGAAGCGACTCAATAGGAATATTACTGAATAGATAATGTTGAGCCAGAATAGAAGAACCAACATAAAAAAGGGGGCAGGGGACAGAGAAAATGGAAGGGAGGAAATCACCAAAATAGTTCAAGAAAATATTCTGCAACTGAACAATATGAGTTACTAGATTGAAAGAGCCCACTGGATACCCAGCACAATGGATAGACATAAACCCATGCCAGTTTCAGAATTCTAGAACAAGGAAGGATTCCACAAGTTTATAGAGTTGAGAGGCAGTTATACATACAAAGGATCAGAAATCAGAATGGCTCTGGACTTGCCAAAGTAACATTGGAAACTAGCAGTCAGTAGATCAATGTCTTCAAATTTCTAAAGAAAAATTATTTCTAACCTAGAATTCTATAGTCAGCCAAAATATCAATGAAGTATGGACAAAAATATATTTTCATACATTCAATTTCTCAAAAAAACAAACCTTATATCCCATAAACTATTGCTTAGGAACCCGTTGAAGGGTATTTCACCAAAATGAGAGTAATACAAAAAGGAAGAATGCATGCCATATAAGACAGGAGATCCTATACAGGAGAGAGGTGAAGGCTGTTCCCAAGGTGAAGGGAAGGGATGACAGCTGTACACTAGACAGGCAGCCAGTCCACAGTGAAGCAGTGTGACTACAGACAGAGATACGTTGAGGGCCTTCTGTATTATATACTCTTGCACCTGATAATATATGGGTAGTAAGTCCTCAGAACCTTATCAGTACTTAGCTTGCATGGACCATGTGCTGATGTTCTTGCTCTCTTCTTCATGCCTTGCTACCTGGATAATCAAAGACATTCATTTCACCCCACAGAAGAATTTTGTTTTGAACTCCTCCTGAGAGCTGAAGATTGGCCATGGTAAGTTTAGAAGCAGAAAACACATAGCACCCCACTCCTACTGATCATATTCCTGTCATATTTCAGCACCTGGCCCACACTACCAGATGCCTTCACTGTGGTGAGCCCTGTGTTTCCTGGGACTCATTCTTGCCCTCCCCAAATGGGGAATGTGATAAACTGTCTGAAAAGCTGAAGCCAGACTATGACTCTTTTAAGCTTATCTTCTCTTGAGAACTTTCATCGAACAGTGGTAATAATGCTCTTTCTATCCATTGCCAGGTTTGTGCTTTGCTGATGATTTTTAAATTAATCACCTTTTATATTCATTTATATGCAAATACTTATAGTTAAATAACAAAATATTTGAAAATATCTATTATTGCTATCTACCATATTTAAAAATAAAGGAGAAAAACTACATGATGATACCAAGATTTAGAGAAAGCATTCTGTAAAATTCAACACCTATTTATGACCTTAAAAAAAAAACAGAAACCTTTACAAACTAGTAATAGATAGGAACTTTCTTAACCTATGAACTCTATAGCATATAACACACTTAGTCATGATATATTTTTAAAATTCCCTTTAAAATCAAGAGCAAACCTAGGATATATACTGTCACACTCACCATTTCTATTCAACATTATACTGGTAGAAGTCCTATCAAACATGATATTTGCAGATAATCATGTATAGAAATCATGTATAGAAAATTTCACAGAACATGTACAAAAAAACTACTAGAAACAATGAAATTTAGCAGGGTCACAAGCTTCTATTCAATATTAAAAAAATCTTATTTCTATGTACTAGCAGTGAACAATTAGAAAAAATTTTTAAAGTATAGTTTATAATAACATCAAAAAAAAAAGAAACCAAAATGTTTAGAGACTAAATTTAGCAAATATATATAAAATTGTACTGTTAAAACTACAACATACAATTTTTTGCTAAGATAAAGACCTAAATAAATAGAGATATATACCATTTTATAGATTAGAAAACTCACTATTGTTAAGATGCCGATTCTTCCAAACTGATTTGTAGGTTCAATATAATTACAATCAAAATCTCTGCCGCCTTGTTGATAAAAATTGAGAAACTGACTCTGACATTAAACATGGGGATACAAACAATCTATAGTAGCCAAGAAAAAAACAGTTTTGAAAACGAAAAGAACAAAGTTAAAGGACTTACACTACTTGATTTACCCTATGCTATACTAATCAAGACAATGTTGTATTGGTGGTAAGGATGAAATACAGATCAATAGAACATCCAAAAATAGACCCATACACTGATACTGACCTGATTTTCAATAAATGTGCCAAGGTAATTCAGCAGAAAAAAGATAATCTTTTCAACAAATTGTTCTGGAACAACTGAATGTTCTTATGGAAAAAAATGAACTTCAACCTCATACCATTATAAAAATTGAATAGAAGTTAGTCACATCCCTAAATGTAAAAGCTAAAGTTATAAAACTTCCAGAATAAAATACAGGAGAAGTCTTTGTGGCCTCTGGCTAGGCAAAGATTTATTAATTAGGACACAAAAGGCACACACTATAAAGCAAAAAATAGATAATTTGAAAAATAGATAAATTGAACTTCATCAAAATTAAAAACTTTTGTTCTTCTGCCAGGTGTGGTGGCTCATGCCTATAATCCTAGCACTCTGGGGGGCCAAGGTAGGAGGATTGCTTTGAGCTCAGGAGTTTAAGACCAGCTTGAGCAAGAGTGAGAACCCGTCTCTACTCAAAATAGAAAAATTAGCTGGGCATTATGGTGTGTGCCTGTAGTCCCAGCTCTTCAGGAGACTGAGACAGGAGGATCCTTTGAGCCCAGGAGTTTGAGGTTGCAGTGAGCTACGATGATGCCACTTCACTCTACCCAGGGCATCACAAAAAAAAATTATTCTTCAAAAGACAGCATTCAGAAAATGAAAGGCAAGTCACAGACTTACATATAGAATATATAAAGAACTCTTACAACTCAGTAAGATGGCAAACAACACTGTATCAAAGAAGATATATGGAGAGTAAGCACATGAAAAGATGCTGAATAACAGTCATTAGGGAAATAATCCAAATTAAACCACAATAAGATACTACTACACACCTACCAGAATGGCTAAAATAAAAAAGACTGACGTCATACCAGTGTTGATGAGGATAAGGAACATTTGGAACACTCATATACAGCTGGTGGGAATGTAAAATGGTACTGTCACTTAGGAAAATAGTTTAGCAGTATCTTTAAAAAGTTAAATATTTACCTGCCATACAACCCAGTCATTCCTCTTCTAGCTATTTACCCAAGAGAAATGAAAGTATATGTCCATGCAAAGTGTTAGTTATGAATGTTCATAGCTGCTTTATTTGTAATAGTCAAAAACTGGAAACAACACAAATGTCCACCAGCATTTGGACAGATAAACAAAATGTGCTATATCCATACAATGGAGTACTCAGCAATAAAAGGAAACGAAGCAACATGGATGAATCTCAAAATAATTACGCCAAGTGAAAGAAACCATACAATAAAGGATATATATTGTATGATCCCATTTATGTAACATTCTAAAAAATGTAAACTAATCTTTTGGAGGTGACAGATATATTTATTATCTTGATTGTGATGGTGGTTTCATAGGTATATACAGATGTATTCATGAGATGTACAATTTAAACATATGCAGTTTGGCTGGGTGCAGTGGTTCTTGCCTGTAATCCCAGCACTCTGGGAGGCCGAGGTGGGAGGATTGCTTGAGGCTGGGAGTTTGAGATCAGCCTGGTCAACATAGCGATACCCCTTCACTACAAAAAAAAATAAGAAAAATTAGCTGGGCATGATTGTATGTGCCTATAGTCCCAGCTACTCAGGAGGGTGAGGCATAAGGATCACTTAAAGCACAGGAGTTTGAGGTTGCAGCAAGCTGTGATCATGCCACTGCACTCCAGCCTGGGCAACAGAGCAAGAGCCTGTCTCTACAAAATAAGTAAGTAAATAAATAATGCAGTTTAATGTAAGTTGGTTATACCTCATTGAAGCTATTAAAAATATGTAAGTTGCTGTTGTTATTTTTGATAACTAACCAAGCTTCAATTTTTCTCATCAGTGAAGTAAAAATAATAATATTTGCCTCACAGGGTTTATTTAAAGATTTTGTGTGTGTGTGGTGTGTGTGTGTGCACACACACCCCTCCACATAATATCTCCATATCACTCTCTCACCCCTTTCTAGGCCTTATTTTTCTTCAAGGTATATATAACCAGTTATGTATTTACTTGTTTACCTCCCCCAACTATACTGTAAGTTTTTTGAGAACAAGGACTTTATATTATTCACTGCTACCTTCCCAAATGCTTAGAACAATGCCTGGCACATAGTAAGCACTCAGTATATATTATTAAGTGATTTAATGAATGAATGAGTGTGTGTGTGTGTGTGTGTTTTAACTACAGTGGCTAACATGGAGCATGTGACTCAATCGTGTTAATTCTAACTTATCATCCCCCGCCTCTTCTATGGGACTGAAAAAGTTATTGGGCACTTTCAGATTACCTTCCTGATATACAGTCTTGGTGGCCCATTCTCTCCCAGTACCTTTAAGTGGCTAAATATAGTAGGCAAATGTATTAGAGAGTTTAATAGATAGGTTTGCTTTTATTATTATTATTTTTTTTACAAAAGTTTATTCTTAAACATACAATAAGCTCCAAAACAACATTTCATTTTAGCTATAGGTATCAAAAGTTGTTATGGCAGGGAATATAGATGTTTAAATAGGAATCAAGGGTCACCATCACCTCAGGCACAAGGAACAGCTTACGTTTTGCCGGATTTCTTAATTCCACCTGTGGCCAGGAGGCCCTTCCCCATGGCCTTCGCTTCTAGTTCCTCAAGTTTCTTCTGCTCCTCTTTTTGTTTCTGCTTGAACGCTTTATCTTCCTCGTCCATCTCCTCAGCCTGCTTCTTGGGCTGTTTTAGGGGCTTTTTCTTGCTACCTTCGCGGCTGGGCATGGCACTGCCGCCCCTTCCCCAGCCCCTGCCTAGGTTTGCTTTTAATAGTAACAAAAACCGTTCCTTCTCATGAAAGTGATGACTTTTAGCTGGGCATGGTAGTACGCACCCTATAGTCCCAGCTACTTGGGAGGATCACTTGAGCACCAGAAATTCCAGGCTGTAATGTGCTATGATCACACTGTGAGCAGCCACTGTACTCCAGCAGCCCAGGCAACAAAGTGAGACCCCATTCCTAAAAAAAGAAAGAGAGAGGAGAGGAGAAAAGAGAGGAGAAAGAAAGGCATGACTTTAATCTCTGATCATGAGAAAATTTTATTTTGCTTTTCCTTTTTTTCCCCCGCAGGGTTTATCCATGGCTTAGAGGACTGGGTTATACATCCTTGGGTATATTTTTATTAGGATTTTTCTTATGGAATATAGATAACATCTTTTGTGATTCACTGAGGTAAGATATATTTTCATCCCTTGAGAAATATTTTTGGAAGCACTCCAGTTATTCAAATGTTGACTACATCTTTGAAACCTGCCTAATCTGCTTCATTGAATAAATAAGAATGATTTGTAATAAGCACATAAAATACATGTATATAAATTTGCACTTTTTCATATGCCTAATGTTATTTTCTTAAAAAGATAAGTGTTCCTTTTACTAGCAATAATGTATTTACAGGAGTTTGAATCTTAGACTAGGTCTCTGGATTCTAGTCTGTTACTAAGACACTATCTTTCTGGGCCTCAATATCCATAAAATGAGCATGTTAAATAGATTAAACTTGTGGGTCCTTCCAGCTCAAAATTCTGTGACCTAACAATTTTGCATAAACAAAACTGAGGACAGAGGAATATATTGAACAAAACCACAGGGAGACAATCAGCAAAATTCAGACTGTAGGAAATCAACAGGATAAGTGATCTGGTCCCTTCAGCTAATAAATGGCAGAGGAGAAAAAAAGAGGGAGCAAGAACATACAGATAAAGAACCTTAAGAGATATATCAACCAAATATAATATGTTGGCCTTTTTGAATCCTGATTCAAACAAACCAACAGTAAAAAAAAAAAAAAATTAAGAGAAATTTGGACTGTTGATCAGTAATTAAATATTTAATGATATTAAGGGATTGTTGATATTTCTAGGTGTTAAAATGGTATCGCGGTTATGTTTTAAGGAGGTTCTCATCTTTTAGAAATACATACTAAAATATTTAGAGATTAAAATGATATAATATCTGGGATTTCTTCAAAATAACAAAATAACATGAGAGGGAGAAGTGGATGAGGGTTTAGGTGACACAGATTGACCATAAATTAATAATTGTTGAAGTTGGGTAATGAATACATTATTATTTTGTCTACTTTTACACATACTTGAAATTCTCCATAGTAAAAAGTTAAATAAGTTAATGTAGACTTTAATTGTAAACAAGTAATACACCTTGCTTATAAAACTAAGACCTAGGTGAGTGATTATGACTCAAGGAATACCCAGCAGAACTCCCCATTGGAGCTTTTACATACCCTGCCATATTGTTTTCCAAAGTGTATTTTGAGGAATAGTATTCCTAGTAGAATGTCCATGAAGAAATGACTCTGTAGTCAAATAAATATGGGAAACATTGTATAGTTTATTGTCCTCTTGGAGATTTTTAATGCATATTAACAGATTAAAGGCTTTGGAAAGCCCTACCATAAATAAAAGTAGGCTCTCAGAGGAAGTAATTGTCTCAAAAATATGTGGGGTTGTCTAGAAAAATAATTTGGTGTTTCACATTGGTTTTTCTCCTCTAATAAATGTTATTATGGTATACATTTAATCAAAAGATCCAGAATTTGAGACCCAGCTGCGCCACTAGTTGAGTGACTTGGGCAACTCAAATAATCTCTTTGAATTTTAGGTTCCTAATCTGTAAAGCAAAGCTAATAATCACCTCCTCAAAGAATCCCTGACTATGAAGTGAAATAATAGATAGAAAAGGACTTTATAGAATGTATGTTGCTGTACTAAGATGATGACCGTAGGACATAGGAAAAGCATGTATCCAGTTTCTTGAGTGGATACCTAACTAGACTAGTGTTTCACAAAGTGCATTCTAGGAAACACTTGTTCCAATAAGTGTTCATAAATATTACCTGAAAAGGGGGTTCCATGGATTAGTAGGTTACCTGAAAAACTAAAGATAACTCTTTAAGGTTGGACTTTTCAGAGCCTTTAATGTGTTAATGTGCATAAAAAATCTCCAAAAGGGCAATAAATTATATAATGTTTCCCACATTTATTTGACTAGAGTCATTTCTTCATGGAACTTCTACCAGGAATATTATTCCTTAAAACACACTTTGGAAAACAATATGTCAGACTAAGGAGACTCAAGGAAATTAAATAATTTCCATATTTGAGAATGATATTAAATATTTCAAAATGCTCTAAGACTGTCAGCATAAGTTGCTAAACATTTTAAAATTTTAACATGCTGATTTTTTTCCCCTTCTCCACACAGGAACTTTCGAAAGAAGGTGCCGCCTATCATAGGTATTACCACACAATTTCATGCATGGTGGCATATTTTAACTGGCCTTGGTTCCTACCTTCACATCCTTTTCAGGTAGGAAATAGTGTCTTTTTTAGCCGAGTATTGCAGTTTTTTGTGGGTTTTTTTGTTTTCTTTGTGTGTTTGTTTTGTTTTCTCTTCAAATGGGACAGTATAAATATAAAATGTTAGAGACAGAATCAGGAACTTCTGTTGCAGCTTTGTGTCTACCACCAAGTAACCTTAAGCAAGTCCCTCAACAACTCTGAAACTCAGTTTTCTCATCTTTAAAGTAAGGCAGTTACTAATTGGCCTCTGACACATGATCTATATTGTATTCTAAGTAGATCATTCATCTCCTTTTTTAGTGCAGGTAGGACATAAACATTTCCAGTTTCTTGTTGATCAGCATATCTCTGTTTAAAGAACAAATTTAGAAGGAAAAAAAAACAGCAGGCAGATTCCCTGCATAGGAAACTGTGAAAGCTCGAGTGCCTGAAGTACCAAGCTTAATCAGTCTCCTTCCCCTAAAATAAATTGGTTGCTACTTCTCTCCTCCCTCCTTTCTCTTCCCCTATTAAAAAGTCTGTGGGAATCCAGCCATTTATAGTAAAATCAGACTCAGAGCTCTCACTGATCACCCTGTCCAACTAATATCTCCATACCATTCTCTCTCCCCTTACTGGTGGATCAGGCTATGTTTAACCTCAAATTCTTCTCAGGAATTGAGAAAGCTGAAATATTTGTAGAAAGGGAAAGAAAATTTTCCTTTGAACAAATGTGAAAATTTACTCAAGTGAAATTTTAAAAATATCTCCCATAATAACATTTGCATCTCTTCTATCTGGAGATCAACCTTTCATGCAACCTGAATTATCTAAACGGGGGAAATGAATTATTCAATTAATATAAAATTTCAGTTATGCAAGATGAGTAAGTTTTAGAGATCTGCTGTACAACCTAGTGCTTACAGATGACATTACTGTACTATGCACTTAAAAATGTTGTTGGTAGATCTCAAGTGTACCACAAAAATAAGAGGAGTGCACTAGGAAACTTGGAAGTGATGGATATGTTTATTATCTTGACTGTGGTGATGGTTTCATGATCATATGCATAAGCCCAAATGCATCAAATCATATACATTAAGTATGTGCAATTTTTTGTATATCAATTATACCTCAAAATAAAAGCTGTTATTTAAAAAGGGTAGATTTGGAGCCGAGATACAGTAACTTAATAACTGGTACATCTGGTATGACTAAACTAAAAGAAAAGAGGAAAAGCATAAATAAGCAGCATCAGAAAATGTAAAAGGAAATATCACTATAGATGCTGCAAATATAAAAAGATAAAACAATATTTTTAACAACTTTATGTGATGGATACTTCTGTTTATGTTTGAAATTTCCCATAATAAAAAGTTTGAATTTTAAGCTCATAGTCTTCATGACAGTCCTATGAGGCAAGTATTATTTTTGCTTGAACAAGCTCAGGGAAGTCTAGTACCTCACACATGATCTCATGGCCAATTAGTGTTATCACCTGAATTTGAGCCCAGGGACAGATTCCCGTGAGACCTTAGAAATTATCTAACATAACTTCTTCATTTGATGCTGAAGGAAACTAGGACCCAGAGAGAAGTGACTTGCCCAGGGTTACTGGCTAGTTAAGTGGAGTACAATATATTGGCTAACAGTTAAACAGAACTTGAATTCAAATCCTGCTTCTGTTATTTACTAGCTTTGGTACCTTGAATGAAATGTTTGACCTTACTGAGACCATTTCTTATATGCAAAACAGGAATAATAATACCCATCTACTCAGTATAATTTAAGAATGAAATGTGTCTTGGTCCAGCCTCTCCCCACATTGTAGGTACTTAAACAGTTGGGAGTGGTAGAAGTAAGAGCAAGGATTGAATCCTGGGCATCTCTGCCTCAGCTCACGACTCTTTCCTGAGAGAAAGAAAAAGATCACAACTTTATTTTAGAGATTAACATCTGAAAAACTGTTAAAGCAAGATTGTATTTTAAAACAATAGACTATTCTTACTAAAATCATATTTGATGCTCCTCTTACAGTTCATTTTGGGTACAGTAAAGTGACATTATAGCCACATTAAATTATACAAATTTACCTCTCATGCTTTTTCACCTTTTCTTTCTCTTGTTTAAAATACAGGTTGAGTATCCCTTATCCGAAACGCTTGGGACCAGAAGTGTTTCAGATTTCAGATTTTTTTTTCGGATTCTGGAATATTTGCACATACATAATGTGATATCTTGGGGATGGGACCCAAATCTAAACACGAAGTTCATTTATGTTTTATATACACCTTATCCACATAGCCTGGAGGTAATTTTATACAATATCTTTAATAATTTTGTGCATGAAACAAAGTCTGTGTACCTTGAACCATCAGAAAGCAAAGGTGTCACTATCTTGCCACCCATGTGGACAATCTGTGATTGTTTGACATCACCATCATCCCTGATTCTGAATTTATATGCTACCAATAAGCAATCATTTTCTTATACTTATTCACACATAAGTATTTAGCAGTAAAAAACATGACATACCATTAATACAGTGAAAAAATAATGTGTAAAGGATATTTAAGCAGCACAGTAGCACCACCAGAATACCTGTATCACCTGTTAAACAGCAGCAAAAACAAACAATGGCAGGCTTTCAGTATCCACCTACAATGCTGTGTTTTGATTAAAAGGTTATTATACACTGATAACATCAGAAGCAGTTGAGGGACCAGGAATTAAGTACCTAGGGATAAGGACACGTTCTTGCTGGACGGCTTTTTAAAATGTTTCTTTCAGGGTCATCTGCCTCATTAACAAAGTTTATAAATCAAAGAAGTGTCCCTGATTTTATAAACTGACATCATCTTATTCTGTCATGAATGCACACTGCTCTAGTCCTTCAATAAGTATTTTAACTGCAACCCGTTACATAAGGTCAGATGTGGAATTTTCCATTTGTGGCATCATGTCAACACTGAAAAAGTTTCAGATTTTGGAGCATTTTGGAATTCAGATTTTCAGATTAGGGATGCTCAACCTGTACTATAAAATTTGTTTTGCATATGTATGCATGATATGTTGTATATTACTATTCAAATACATTTAAATAGTGTACTATACATGAAAGTATGTATGCTATATGATGTGGACAGTTTAATAAGTTTTTCCAGGATAAGTTCAACTATATTTTGCTATATGCACTGATTTTAGAATTTGATTTCATCTCCAGAGGTGACTGACTGTAAAGGATACTATGAGGGAAACTGTTTTCTTGCTGGTTATCTCATACCAGCTATATTTAATCCTTATAGAGCTGATATAGCCATTTCTAAAATATTCTAACTCTAATCCTTACTACCGTATATCTTCAAAAATGGAAAAGCTAATTGTGATATGAATTATATCTACTAAACTACAAACATCTTGAGGTCACAGCCTGTGAGGTGATCATTCACTTAGCATCTTGCCAAGTGTTTTGCACCGAGTAGATGCTCAAAAAAATGGTTGATGAATGAATATAGGATATACTTATGTTGTTTTTTCTTTGTATATACAGAGGCACTATGGTTAAATTTGTCACTAAGCCAGTTTGCATGAATTAAAAACTATTCTGAAGAGCTTCTCCCCTCCCCCTTTTCTTTCAGTTTATATACAAGAACACTTTATCTGAAATACAGGCCAAAAGTGAAGGTAAGTCCACTTCCTAGGTCCTGTGTGTGTCTGTGTGCTGGGGGTGGGGGGGGCGGGGGTGTCAGGAGGATAAGATAGAGGTGACAGAAGAAGAAAGGTGGATATGGAGAAATAATGGAGTGAACACAGATTCTGGAACAAGAGACATTGCATCTAAAGTCTTCCATTTACTCCTGCATGCTCTTGGACAAGTCTCTCCTCTTTAAGCCTTGGTTTCATCAACAATAAAATGTAGTTGTTAATGTAGATACATTTCAGAGTTGTTTTAAGGAACAAAAATGATTTATATGCCCACCTTCATCCTTGACAAAGTAGAAGTTTAATACATTTAAAGAAATTAAATAAAAATACTTTCTGAGATCTGGTACAAGTCTAGCCTGCTGTGCTCAGGCTACTAATACCAGGGCAATCACTAGCAAACCTACCAAGCACTATAGTCACAGCTCCATGGATTCTTTCTCATTCTCTTTCAGGGATAACATAACATGGAATACTTTTACCTTCTTTCATTTTGTCCTAACTTATTTCCAAACAGTTTCTCTTCGGAATCTGGCCAGTGATCCTGTTTGAGCCTCTCAGGAAGCACTGATGAATTATTCCACCAAGAAAACAAAAAAACACCTGCCATAGGCCTGGCAGTATAAACAAGGAAATCCTTAAAGATCTACACATTTAAATATATCATGACCATCACAGCAGAGGAAGGACATTCTGACTATTGCTGCCAGCCACATAGAGAATGAGGAATGGGGCCTGTTGGGTATTTAGCTCATGGCTTTATTTCATTTGTCCTCCTCCTCCTCTTCCTCCTCTCACCCTAAGATGTTTATAAAGAAACAGATATGATGTACATATATATACTCAAATGCTGAAAAAATTGGGCTTTTCTTAACAGGTTAACAGTTTGTGCTGGTTGTAGGAAATTAACCTTTTCCTCTTTTATGACAACGGTTGCATGTGAATTATACCTTTCTTAATATTTGATTAAATAATAAAAATGGTCAGCTAGGGACTGGCAAAACCCTATATCCAGATGGTCAGCTATGAGCCAGCACTCAGCTGTGTCAGCTTTGATTTATATTGTTTTCATATTAACCTCATGGATGGTTTTCCAAGGTAAAAACAGAGCTAGCTGTGAGATTCTGTGTAGTTCTTCACTGTCTGTCCCAATGCTAGTCGGAGTGTCCAGCAAGCTCAGACCTGCCACTGGGTCCTATACTTGTCATATCCCAGGATTTATGGTGATCTCTGGGATATGGGATATCTGTGTATGGCCACAGCCAGTCAGAGTGATCTGTAACTTACAAGGTCATTTTGTAACCTTTCTGAAGCTCCATGAGGACATCTACAGAATGCTGAACCTTCAGCCAGCTAAAGGTGGTTGCTCTGTTTCCTTTGATCTTTGTAGATCTTTAAGTGGTCACTTTTTTTTATAGCTAGACAAACATGATTGGTGGTCTAGACTACCCGTATTCCAACCTTCTAGCATAACTTATTTGAAGTTATCAGGGAATGTCATTATACTCTTGATTTTTTAATGCAGTATTTTCCAGTTCTCATGGAGGTCACGGTTATGCCCAGGGTAGTGTGTCAGATTAACTACAGCTAAGAGGATCAGGATCCTATTTGCATAAAGCTTATTAATACCTGCTCCTTCATTTTTTTTTTTGAAGGAAATAGATATAAGGGTTGAGAATAGCTGTAACTAACTTGTAACTTGCAGAACCACAAAAATTAGGGTGCTAAGAAATGGCAGTAAAATCTCATCTTAAGGCAGCTAATTCTAATTTGCATTTGAATACATAACAGATTAAATCACTTTTCACAAACATAACACCTGCCTGACATAAAAACCTTATTTGACTCCTTTGCTCATTTATTACCATATTTGTAGTGCTGTACTATTTAGCATTTTTATAACATTTTTTTGCTTTATAAGTTATTATAAAATCCAGATTGTTTTTACTATATGGCTACATTACCCAAGATTAGATCATCCTGAGCTACAGCTTCAAAAGGAAAATCATTTTTTCCTTATGCCAAGGTGGTAAACATTTCTGTCATTTTTCCAGTATTCAATAAGTAGCCTTGGTACAAATTTAAAACCAAAAAATATGTTGTTTTTTGCACCTGCTGGCTTTAGTTTTAGTCAAAGTACTGTTTTCTTTCCCTTAGCATGCCAATATGCCATTAGGCTGATCCTTTCACCTACTTCTATGATTCCCCCACCAAGAAAAACACTTGCTAAAACATTAATCTAAGAGAACTCTGGTTCTGCCTTAGGAGGGCATAAAACAGTTCCAGTGCACAGCCTATAAGACTATTCTTTCTTTTTCCCCAAGAGTCTGACTTCTGGCTACATTTCACCTGCAGCTACCCAGGCTATCAGCCATTGTACATTTTTTAATTAATTCGTTTGTTTCATACTATTATCTTTTTGTACTGTTCAATCAGATACACTTCTGCATAAAGAATCTATATACAGTATAGGAACAAAGGCACATCATTCATGACAATGCTGCTAATTATTGTAAGACAGGTTCTACAGTGTTGAAGTCAGATTAAAGGTACAGAGAGCATACCCTGATACTGCGGCCGTTTAGAGCAATTTGCTGAATAAGCATTCAGCTACCACCACCAGTGGTCACCTGTTGAATAAAGTTGTCCAGTACCTCATTGGAGAGTCATTTGTACCCCAGGGTGACCTGTAAGACTGAGGCCAATTCTTCAAAGACCCTTGTTTCTGTTGTGAGAACAGACAGCATGAAAGCTCAGCATAAAACATTTTAGATGTGTTGAAATAGAAAGCAGAGAGGAAAACCAGGCTCTTTAATTTTCCAAGTCAGCTGTGCCTCAGGCATGGCTTTCTTTTTAGCAACTAAGTAACACATTCAAGACTTTTATCTGTGCCACACTGTATGGAAATTATTGGTGACCTATAGGATATTGCTAAATCTTATGTCAACAGCTTTATTTTTTCCTTCTAGGATTCTGGGTGGACATTACAGGGTTGGATTCATATCCACATTCCCTTTTTCTTGGAAAACTTCATGTTAACTAGAGTGTACAAAAAGCCTGTTTCCTGCTGTGCAAATAATGGTTTGTTTGCATATCACCTGATATGAAAGGTGCTCATCTGTGAGCCCTATAGCAAATTATATTTTAGAAAATATTACTTTGTGAGGATGTGAAAGAAGCAATTTGCTTACACATTTGAATATCCCTCTTGTGTCCCTATTCTTACTCTGGAAAATTGATAGCAATTTGACTTTGTTTTCTTTCTAAAGGAAAACTAGGTGAAAGCTGGTTGTTAATCTGGTCACTGTACCAACCCCCTCACCACCTTGGGGCTTTTGTGAAACATCCCCACCACCTGACATGATCTTTTTTATCCTTGTGATATTATATACATTGATGATTAACAGGGGAAACATTTGTTTTTTAATAATCTACAAATGAGAACCCAAATGGTGGTATTTGGTTTGACAGAATTAAATCAAATATTATGGTCTACCCATAATGCAGAATTCCAGGACAGTTAATTTGGGCTTTCCTTACCCTAAGAGGGTTTTTCTTATAATAAGGAAAAGAGTTGTATAAGTCAAATAAAATTAAGAGACCAAAAACTCAGGTATACAATATATGAAAATCTTTAAATGCCTATAAAAATTAAGTTCTATTATAATGCCAGCCAATTCTGAATTTAGCCAGTGCCCCTAAAAGTGTCTAATAATTTAGTTTAAGGTTTTCTTATGAGTCCTATGAGTTCCATATTACTTTGCTCTTGAAAACAATTTGTTGCTAAATTTGACAGTTTACCTAGCAACTCCATGTTTACATGACATGAAATTCTTTTGAACCTGTGGTTTATGATGTGCTACTTGGTAAGCATTTATGTAAAACTGATGTTTCAAAGAGAACCAGTTATAATTGGAATTTACAACTGTGTGGCTATTTGCAGATCTACCTCTGTCTTACATTTTGCATCATATCAATGCTATAATATAATAGTTTGATCACTTTGTCTTGTCTTTCAGTGTCTAAAATTATAGTTTATTTACTATGCTGTAACCATTTGAAAATAACTAAAATTTGCTTAAAAGTAGTTAAACATCTTTGGCCGGGCCCGGTGGCTCACGCCTGTAATCCTAGCACTCTGGGAGGCCGAGGTGGGTGGATTGTTTGAGCTCAGGAGTTCGAAACCAGCCTGAGCAAGAGCGAGACCCCGTCTCTACTAAAAATAGAAAGAAATTAATCAGACAACTAAAAATATATAGAAAACATTAGCCGGGCATGGTGGCGCATGCCTGTAGTCCCAGCTGCTCGAGAGGCTGAGGCACGAGGATCGCTTGAGCCCAGGAGTTTGAGGTTGCTGTGAGCTAGGCTGACGCCACTGCACTCTAGCCCGGGCAACACAGTGAGACTCTATCTCAAAAAAAAAAAAAAAAAAAAGTAGTTAAACATCTTTATGGAAGGGCCTGTAAAATGAAAAAAAAAAAAAGGAATCACGTCATCATGATCCATCCGACTGGAAAATTTCAGTGCTTTTTTTAAACTGTTACACTTCCTTTAAGAAAAGGAAACACCACCCTTTTTTTTTTCAATGTCTAACTACATAATTGCTACATAGGGAGAGTTGCTGGTGTTGCTGAGGTCCTTGTGAACATGCCACTGGACTTTTAACCATTTCTCCAAAATTGCCATCCCAGTCAGCTTCATATACCCAGATATGGATACCGCTTCACCTGAAATTCAAACTGAAGATAAGCCTCTGACTTTGGACTATAAACTTTTGCCTTGGGTATGAAACCTTGACATTGTTGAAAGAAAAGTGAAAACTGTAAGGGATACCAGCCTTTACCAAGGCATAGTCCTTTCTCTGATAGGCAATCAGTGCTGCTAAGAAGAGAGATCACTAAAGAATTTAAGTAGTATTGTTAGCTACAGAATTTCTGCTGTTGTTGATACACATTCAGCCATTTGGAGTAAAAGTTAAGCAGTACTGACCACCCATTTTAATGCACTTTAAATTTCTAAATGTTGTTTCACAAGGTCTTAATCTATCACTACATCTTCAAATTACTACCTGTTTTGATTGGCAGCTAGTGTAGAAAATATTGATCACAAGAATATTTCTTACTAGAATACCCTAAAACTGAAATCAAGAAATTACAAGCCTGCAAGTGGCCTAAAATTCCCCCACTTTGTTTAGTTACACATTTGTCAGTATTTTACCACCAACCACACATCACACTATGCTCTGCTCACAGTTCCTTTTCAACTCTAATTAACAAGACCTGCCTCGTTGCTTTAAAGAGCACAGTGTTGATACTTGAACTAAATTTAGTCATTGGTGGGCCAGGTGTGGTGGCTCATGCCTATAATCTCAGCACGTTGGGCGGCCATGGTGGGAGAATCCCTCAAGGCCAGGAATTCAAGACCAGCTTGGACAACATAGCAAGACCCCCCCCAACCCCACCTCTACAAAAAGTAAAAAAATTAGCCAGGTATAAAGGCGTATGCCTGCAGTCCTAGATACTTGGGAGTCTGAGACAGGAGGATCACTTGAGCCTATGAGTTTGAGGCTGCAGTGAGCTATGATAGCATCACTTCAGCCTGGGCAACAGAGTGAGACCCTGTCTCTAAAAAAAAATTTTTTCTGGTCAGATCTGCTGATCAACACTTTCAAACTCAGTTTGCAGAATTAACTCTAAGATTGCAACAAAACATATTTACTAAATAAATCTTTAAACATATAAATATGGTTCCCTATAAATATTCATTCTGAGATCATCTGTGCCTAAGAGAAAATGATAAAAATGTGTTGTATCAAAGGACTCTAGACCAGGGGTTGGCAAACTATAGCCCATGGGCCAAATCCAGTCTGCAGTTGCATGGCCTGAAAGGTAAGAATTGTTTTTACGTTTGAAAAGCATTTTTTAAACAAACAGAAAGAGAAGAAGAATATGTGACAGAAACCATATGTTGCCTGAAAAGCCTAAAATGCTTACTCTCTGGCTCAGGACTTTGCTTCCCCTGCTCTAGACCATCCTCGGAGGAGTCCCATAATGGAAGTATAGTGGTACTGCCCAACTGAACTTCCAGCAAGATGATGCTAATGTG